CATGTATTAGATTAAATCTTTTATCCATTGTGAGTTAATTTTTTTTTTTTTTTTTGAGACAGAGCCTCAAGCTGTCCCCCTGGGTAGAGTGTTGTTGCATCACAGCTCACAGCAACTCCTGGGCTCAAGCGAGTCTCCTGCCTGAGCCTCTCAAGTAGCTGGGACCACAGGTGCCCACCACAATGCCCGGCTGTTTTTTGGTTGCAGCCGTCATTGTTGTTTGGCGGGCCCGGGCTGGATTCGAACCCACTACCTTAGGTGTATGTGGCTGATGCCTTAGCCACTTGAGTCACAGGCGCCGAGCCTAGTTTTTCTATTTTTAGTAGAGACAGGTCTTGTTCTTGCTCAGGCTGGTTTCGAACTCCTGAGCTCAAGCTGTGCTCCTATTTGGGCCTCCCAGAGTACTGGGGTAATAGTTCTGAGCCACCACTCTCAGCCTATGTGACAGTCTTCTGGAGCCCTTTCCTTTCCAGAGTTCCCTTGCCTGGCACCTGGCACCTGGTAAGGGGGATGGCTTTTAGCAAGTGACAGTGTTATAAGTGAGCCAGAAATCTGAGACTTATTTATATTTTTTAGAACTGTTGTAAAATGTATATAGGTCACTTTGAAAGTTTTGAGACAGACTGTGTGGTAGTCACTTATTTCAGTTCCAAGAAACAGAGTTAACATGTATACAACATAAGATCTGCCATTCCCCACCATTCTAAGCGTCCAGTCCCTTGGCATTAAGCACATTCACGGTGTTGTGCATCCATCACCACCATCCATCTCGACTGATAGAAGAGAATGAACAGGCTTAGGGATTTAAAAAATGCCATTCACAGCAGCAAGAAAAGGAAGAGACAGTCATGCTCACAGTGAAAGGAGTAAAGCAGCAGATGGTCTTTAAATAGAACTCCATTCTTACTCTGCCTCTCACAAATCCAGTAGGAAATACTGCTTTCCCTCACCCAGCATTAACCTGCGGGCACTTCCAGAGTTCCTGCATGTGCTAAGCGTGGTGCTGGGGACAGGGCCGAGCAGCGGCGACAAGGCCCCTGTGCTAACCTTATGTTCAAAGAGAAGGGTGGGGGGAGAATAGGGGACAGAGTTAAAAAACAAAAAGAAATCATATTCTGGGCTCAGCACCTGTAGCTCAGCAGCTAAGGCGCCAGCCACATACACCTAAGGTGGCAGGTTCAAAGCTAGCCCTGGCCCACCAAACAACAATGACAACTACAACCAAAAAATACCTGGGCATTGTGGCTGGTGCCTGTAGTTCCAGCTTAGTTGGGAGGCTGAGGCAAGAGAATCGCTTAAGCCCAAGAGTTTGAGGTTGCTGTGAACTGTGATGCCACAGCACTCTACCCAGGGCGACAGCTTTGGAAGTCAGGTTTTTGCAGATGTAAGCAGGTTAAGGTGAGGTCACACTGGATTAGGGTAGTCTCTAATCCAATGACTGGAATCCAGGAAGAGGGAAATTTGAACACAGACACACAAAGAGGGAAGATGGCTGTGTGAAGATGAGGGCAGAGACTGGAGTTACGTGGCTATAAGCCAAGAAATGTCAGGGATTACCAGCAGCCACCGGAAGATGGGAAGAGGCACGAAGGGCAGCAAGCACTGAGCGTCTCATACAGGCCTGGTGCTGTGGTGGACGTTAGGGCGATAAAGACAGATGATGGGACAGAGGCAGCCTGGTGACAGAGTCCTCTAAAGTCTGCTTTCACTCCTAACTCCTATCAAATAGCATGTAAACCTCTAGTCCTCAAACTTTTTAAACAGGGGGCCAGTTCACTGTCCCTCAGACCATTGGAGGGCCACACTGCGGGCCCCGGGACGAGTCAGCTGCTAAGCAGGACAGGCAGCGGCAGCAAAAACACCCAGTGGGCTAGATAAATGTCCTCAGCAGGCTGCATGTGGCCTGCAGGCCATAGTTGGAGGACACCTGTGAGTCTAGCCTCTCTGTGCCTCAGTTTACTCACACATAAAATGGGGATAATATAGGTGCCTGTCTCAATATGGTATTATGAGGATTAAATAACAAATTATTTGTAAAGTGCTTAGAACAGTGCTAGGATGTAATAAGGGCTACAGAGGCGATTATTGAATAAATAAAGTCACACCCAATCTTTTCTTCAAAGGGTTAATTAAGTCGACAGATGACCAGGTAAACAACTTCAGCTTTTGTGTGAGTATGTTGGTAGATGTATCTACAGAGGCGCCGGCTTCTGAACTTTGGGATCGGGAGTCAGAATGTTCTTACCTGAGAGTGATTAAAGGAGCAGCGTCACAATGACAGACTTTGTTTTTGTGGCTTTCTTCTTGACGCCTCCCTCGGGCCAGCAGCCTTCTTACAGCTGTTGCATGTCTTCACAGCCTGGGACAGCAGGTGGTCAGTGAGAGTTTATGGACTAGTTATCAATTAATGGCTATGAGAAGAGCCCTTCTATGACCCAGTGGGACTTTGTGATACATATTTATATTCCCATAATGACTTTAAAGTGTTAAGAAGTGACATTATATTTTTATTGCAATCAAGTAAAAAATTAATAATTTTGTTCCTGAAAGTGATCGTAAAATGTGTGTATTCATGTAACTTTTGTTTGTTTCTATTATTTTTTAGAGACAGAGTCTCACTTTAACGCCTTCTGTAGAGTGCCATGGTGTCACACAGCTCACAGCAACCTCCAGCTCCTGGGCTTAGGTGATTCTCTTGCCTCAGCCTCCTGAGTAGCTGGGACTACAGGCACCTGCCCTGATTCCCAGCTATTTTTTGTTGCAGTTTGGCCGGGGCCGGGTTTGAACCCACCACCCTGGGTATTTGGGGCCGGTGCCCTACCCACTGAGCCACAGGTGCCAACCGTAACTTTTGTTTCTTTCTCTCATTATTTTAGTGACTTGAATTGGCTATTTATTTAAAATCTTACATATTTAACATCACCAAGTTATATCATTTTATTGAAATAACAGCAACCCTCGGTTTGGTGCCTATAGCTCAGCGGCTAGGGCATCAGCCACATATACCGGAGCTGGCGGGTTTGAACCCAGCCCAGGCCAACTAAACAACAATGACAACTACAACCAAAAAGTAGCCAGCGTTCTAGCGGGCGCTTGTAGTCCCAGCTACTTGGGAGGCTGAGGCAAGAGAATCACGTAAGCCCAAGAGTTTGAGGTTGCTGTGAGCTGTGACACCACGGCACTCTACTGAGGGCGACATAATAAGACAATGTCTCAATAAAAAAAAAAAAAAAAAAAACCAGCAAGCCTCAGTGTGTTAAAAGTGAAAGATGCTCCCTGTAAATTCGTACCATCAGTGAAGGAGGTGGGATAAGCTAAGATGGTAAGGCAATTAAGAGGCACAGTTTTTAAAAGTCAGGTGATAGCTTGTAAGAATACTGGTACAGGGACTTATTCTGTCAAATGAGTACTTTTTCTCGAGGCATATTTAGTTATTAAGCTCTGGTACATGTTTGGTTAGTGATGGTTACCAGTAATGTGTTTCTTGGGCAAACTTGTTTTTCTACTGTTCAGTTACAAAACACCCATTTCTCTCTTATGGTGCAGATTCGACGGAGGCGCCTTGCACGACTTGCTGGTGGACAGACCTCCCAGCCGACCACCCCTCTCACCTCTCCCCAAAGGGAGAACCCTCCAGGTCCTCCTATCTCGGCATCAGCCCCAGGCCCTTCCCAGAGTCTTGGTCTCAATGTCCACAGCATGACCCCAGCTACCTCCCCAATAGGTGCATCAGGTAAGCCTCACCTTCAGGCCTGGGCCTGGTGGTAATTCTCAGCGCAGCTTTCTGTTATGCTGATGGTTGTGATTTTTTTCCATAACAGATGAAATTAAGTGGACATCAACTTTTTAAAAATCCTGCAAGCAGTAGTTTAAAGATAAAGATCATTGCAGTGAGTTTTGTTATTGTCTATTCATTGTGATTATGATCTGTTAAAACTAATTGCTTCTTCTTTCCCATAACTTCTGTCTTTTTTTCCAAACAGGCTCAGGTCTTACCTCTGACCACAAGGTGATTAAGACTGATTCGGTTCTGCCAATTTTATGAATTTGCCTTATGCTTTTCTTTTAAGATCAAATAATCTAAAAATGCAAGATTGAAATAATGGCCAAAAAGACAAGCCTCTAATTATGAAGTTTCTTGTTTTCATTCTACATTGGCACAGAACCTTTTCTCTAAGTTTTCAAGAGAGAGAACTTCACCTGGTGTGATGTTTTATAACTGCCTCTTTGATAATCATTTAATTGTGGTGAGGGTTTATTTGTTTATAAAATAAATGAACTCATGGTTAATATCCAGGACTGTCTTTTTTGGGAATGATATTAACTCATACTGTATGATGATATTTACATCATCTTTCTTTACAATATCTTTCTTCTTTTTTTTTTTTTTAACTTTATTTTTATTTATTTATTTATTTTTTTGTTGTTGTTGCAGTTTGGCCGGGGCTGGGTTTGAACTTACCACCCTTGGTATATGGGGCTGACACCCTACTCACTGAGCCACAGGCACCACCCTCTTTCTTTTTTTCTTTTCTTTTCTTTTCTTTTTTTGAGACAGAGCCTCAAGCTGTCCCCCTGGGTAGAGTGCCATGGCATCACAGCTCACAGCAACCTCCAGCTCCTGGGCTCAAGCGAGTCTCCTGCCTCAGCCTCCCAAGTAGCTGGGACCACAGGCGCCCACCACAACACCCGACTATTTTTTTGGTTGCAGCCATCATTGTTGTTTGGTGGGCCCAGGGATTGGAACCCGCCACCTTGGGTGTATGTGGCTGGCGCCTTAGCCACTTGAGCCACAGGCGCAGAGCCTATTTCTTTTTTTCTAAGTGAACTTTTCTATAAAAAATATTACTATCATCATGATAATTATTATAATTATTTTATAATCACTTAAGACTCCAGTTATGGAAAAGTAGTTGCTAAGAGCCCTGAATTGATCATGATATTGTCTAATAATTTGATGGCCTGTGGTTTTTTTTTTATTTTTTAATTTTTTTCTTTTATTTATTAATTTATTTATTTTATTGAGACAGAGTCTCATTTTGTGGCCCTTGGTAGAGTGCGATGGCATCACAGATCATAGCAACCTCCAACTCTTGGGCTTAAGCGATTCTCTTGCCTCAGCATCCCAAGTAGCTGGGACTACACGTGGTGCCTGCCACAACACCCGGCTTTTTTTTGGTAAAGACGGGGTCAGCATGAGCCACCATGCCCAGCCTGGCCTGTCTTCCTGATCTAGGATTATTTGTCAATTAATAGTGCTTGGTATGTGTCTGTTGCTATAGCTTCCATTAGGCATCTATGTAGACTCCTCCCCTTTTTATATATAAATACCTAATTCCATTAATTATAGAAGAGAGAGGTTCAGGCCAAAACTTCAATTAATAATAAAGAACCCCTTTGCCTGTAATGTCTTCTCTGTAGATCTCTGAGAACCTGTGACAGTCTTCTAATAGGACTAAAGTATTCGAGATTCCAATTGTGATTTTATCTTTTCTTTTGAAAACAGTGCTATCAATGGAGCTCATTGTCTCACCATGATCAAGTCATACTCAGAATGTTGGAACGTGTTCTGGAGAGAGCCTCTCTCACTTGGTCTTTTTTTTTTTTTTTTGAGACAGAGCCTCAAGCTGTCCCCCTGGGTAGAGTGCCATGGCATTACAGCTCACAGCAACCTCCAACTCCTGG